GTAAATATACTTCCTCCACCACGAGCCTATCAGGCTCAAATGCGATCTGAAACACCCACCAAATCCAAACATGCTTTGAATTTGGCTATTGGAAGACTTTTAGTGAACATATCAGCAGGATTATCATTGGTGCTGATCTTGTTTACTGTAATATCGCCTTTAGCAATAACATCTCTGATGAAGTGATAACGAACATCAATATGCTTCGTTCGATCATGGAACATTTGATCCTTCGTCAGAAATATTGCACTTTGATTGTCACAAAAAAACAGTGTTAACAGATAACTTGTTTGAAAGCTCACCTATCAACCGTTTCAACCAGATGGCTTCCTTCACTGCTTCCGTAGCAGCCATGTATTCGGCTTCAGTGGTGGATAACGCTACAGTAGATTGTAACTGCGCTTTCCAGCTAACTGCGCAATCAACCAAAGTAAACACGTACCCTGTAATCGATCGTCTTTTATCCAAGTCCTTTGCATAATCGGAATCCACATAACCTAGTACTCCATTATCGGTTTTTCCAAACCGCAGACATAAAGAGGAAGTACCTCACAAGTAGCGAAAAATCCATTTAACAGCAACCCAATGCTCCTTTCCTGGATTCGCCATGTATCTGCTCACCATGCTTACCGCATATGACAAATCTGGACGTGTACAAATCATAGCATACATAAGAGATCCTACAGCGCTGGGAGTATGGTACCTTTGCCATGTATGCTATATCTTCTTCGGTGGTAGGACTTAAGGCGGATGATAGCTTGAAGTGGGCTGCGAAAGGAGTGCTGACTTCTTTTGCGTCATGCATATTGAAACGGTGCAGAACCTTCTCAATGTAGCTTTGTTGAGAAAGGTATAGAGTTCTTGCACTACGGTCTCGCACTATTTCCATTCCTAGAATTTTCTTGGCAGCACCCAAGTCCTTTATATCGAACTCAGCATTCAACTGGTCTTTTATCATTTGAATCTCCTTTATATTCTTCGCTGCAATTAACATGTCATCCACGTATAAAAGTAGATAGACCATTGAACCATCGTCACACTTTTTGTAGTAAACGCAGCTGTCGTAGGTGCACCTTTTCAGCTTTGACTGGTCATAAATGAGTCAAACCTTTTATACCATTGTCGAGGAGATTGCTTGAGGCCATAAAGAGACTTCTTCAATTTGCACACGTAGCTTTCCTTGCCAGGAGCTACAAAACCTTCAGGTTGTTGCATATATATCTCTTCCTCAAGCACACCATTTAAGAATGTTGTAGTAACATCAAGTTGCTCTAATTCATAGTCATGAGAGGCAACTAATCCCAACAAGACACGTATTGACGTGTGTTTCACAACCGGAGAGAAAATGTTGGTATAATCGATACCTGGGATTTGACTGTAGCCTTTGGCTACCAAACGAGCTTTATATCTTGGTTTGTCACCAGGGTGGATAGCCTCCTTCAACTTGTAGACCCATTTGCACTTAACTGTCTTCTTACCCTTTGGAGCTGGAACGAGATCCCATGTGCCATTTTTCTGAAGAGATTTCATCTCCTCGTGCATGGCAACCATCCACTTATTAGAATGTTTGGATTGAATGGCCTCGTTGTAGCTTGTGGGCTCCAGAACAGACTCAACTTCATTGGCAACTGTAAGTGCATAAGCGACAGAATTGGCTTGAACATATCTCTTTGGAGGTACAATCTGTCTGCGAGGTCTATCTCTTGCAATGGAGGGACTGTGAGGTTGTCTTGGAGCTTCGGCTGGCTCATGAGAAGAGGAATGTTGATTATTCGAGGGTTGAGAAACCTCGACACCTTCATGAGACTGGTCCTCGAAAGATGAATTTAAAGGAAACTCCACCTCCACTCAAACTTTGTCTTTTTCCAAATTTTCATTTTCTCTGGTCTGAATGTTGGAGATAGGATGAAGCATGGCTTTTTCATCGAAGGTCACATCTTTAGATGTCAAAACCTTGCTTAGCTCCGGGCTCCATAATTTGAACCCTTTAACACCTGTCGGATATCCGAGAAAGACGCATTTAATTGCCCTCGGTTACAATTTACCGTTATCAACTCGGGCATATGCTGGACATCCAAATGGAATCAATTTTGTGTAATCAGCAGGTTGGCCGGACCAAAGCTCAAATGGGGTCTTCTTTTGAATAGCACGAGAAGGGGAACAGTTGATAATGTAGCATGCGGTTGAAGCGGCCTCGGCCCAAAAAGACTTCGGCAACTTCGAATGAGATAGCATGCATCAGACCTTCTCCATGATGGTGCGGTTCATACGTTCCGCTACGCCGTTCTGCTGTGGTGTATGAACTACGGTGCGATGCCTCGTAATTCCTTCCCTACGACAATAGGAGTTGAATTCTTCAGAACAAAATTCCAGTCCATTATCAGTACGAAGGTATTTCACTTCAAAACCTGATTGCTTTTCAACCAATACTTTCCAATCTCTAAAGGTTTGGAATACTTCTCCCTTTGACTTCAAGAAGAACGACCATACCTTTCTTGAGAAATCGTCAATGATCGTGAGCATATAAGAGGCTCCACCTTTCGATGTAACCTTCGCTGGTCCCCATAAATCAGAGTGTATGTAGTCAAGTGGCCCTTTCGTCGTATGTTTGCCACCGATAAAACTCACTCGCTTCTGCTTTCCAAATACACAATCTTCACAGAATTCAAGTTCGATTGATTTGTGCTCCCCGAGCAACCCCCTTCGACTTAGTTCATTCATACCATGGTATGACATGTGAGCGAGCCTGAGGTGCCATAGACGAGAGCGATCAACGTTGGAGAGGGATTTAGAACATACCGAGACTTCGCCCGAGATAACTTGCCCATCCATAATGTAAAGGTTTGCGGATTTTCTAACTCCTCGGATGACCACAGAACCTTCCTTGAAAATATGGAGTTTCCCGTCTTTGCCAACAAACCCGTAACCTTTCTTCTCGAAAGTACCGAGACTTAGTAAATTTCGCCTAAGACCGGATACGTGCTTCACATCTTGAATCGTTCGAACAACGCCATCGAACATGCGGAACCTGAGTGTACCCCGTCCAATAATACGACACGAAGTGTCGTTACCCATTAGAACGTGGCCTTCGTTAACCTTTTCATATGAATGAAAAACGCTTCGGTTGGAGCTCATATGAAAAGTACACGCTGAATCAAGTACCCACTCACTCGTGGTCATTAAACCATAGTCTGAAACGGATAGAAGCTCGCCATCGGAACCAGTTTCGGCAACATCGGCTTCAACGGTGTGTATTGGTTGTTTTCCCTTTGCGATTGCCTTTGCTTTCTCCTTGTTCTTTAACTTGAAACATTCATCGATCAGATGTCCCTTCTTGTGGCAATAATTGCAATACTTGTGATTGGCTTTGGACTTAGATCTAGATCGGTTTTGTGAAGAGCTACCTCTCTCGTTAGGTCTCCCTCTGATGTTGAGACATTCGGCTTTAGGATCGCTGCTACTGTTCCCAACTATCTGCTTCATCTTTTCCTTTGAATCAAGAGCAGTCATTACCTCGTCAAGGACAAGAGTGTCCCGAGAATAGATAATGGTGTCACGAAAGTGATCGTAGGAGTCTGGGAGAGAAGATAATAAAAATAACGCCAAGTCTTCATCTTCGTATTTGACGTCCATATTCTCCAGATTTCCTACAAGCTCTTTAAAGGTAGAGAGGTGATCAGACAAAGAACTACCTTCACCCATCTTTAGGTTAAAAATTCGTTGCTTCAAGTGTAGCTTGTTGGGCAAGCTTTTCGTCATAAGTAGCTGCTCGAGTTTTAGGCAGAGAGCCGCTGCGGATGTCTCTTTCAACACATCTTGGAGAACGTCGTTAGAAAGATGCAGACGGATCTGCGACGACGCCTTCAGATCTTTTCATCTCCTTTTCCTCAGTCGACCAAGTTGCCGGCATTTTCTCCATTCCTAATAGTGCTTTGTGGAGATCCATTTGGATCAACACATCTTTCATCTTTACTTGCCAGAGAGGGAATCTTGTGTTTCTGTCAAGTAAAGGAATATCGTACTTCATCGATGACATGGTTGAAAATAGTTTTTACGAATCGTTATCGGAAAACCCGGATAGCTCTGATACCAATTGTAGACAAATCGACTACAATAAATAATCGATAACTTCAAGATCGAAGTATAAAACCCAAATATCACGATAGCGATTCAACGGAATATAAAACTATTTGAATAATCAACCAAAAATAAATCGAACGATAAAAAGAAAAAACACGCGATATTTACGTGGAAACCCAAATCGGGAAATACCACGGGCGGAGGAAGCCGAGAACCAATTTACTATAATATTCGGTGTTTACAGAGATAGAGGAAAGAAAAACAAATATATCAAATATATATTTGTATGAATATGAGAGAAAGATGAAGATGTAATTTGAGGTGTGGTGTTTTTAATAAGCTTGGTTTCATTTCCTTTTATAGGCAAATGAATGTATGAATTCAATTGTCTATTACCATCCAAGCTTGACAAACATGCTACCATCCATTCTTGACAAATTAAAACCACACGTGTAGAATGGTATTCTAGAAATCATCCAATGTTGAAGTTTGAAGGAAACTTCCACAATTCCAAATACCACAAGCATTTATTCCAAGAATAAACTGGCAATATCTTTCTTGTCAAACGAAGAGGTAACGATGTTTTATGTTAATACTGTTCAACCAGTCTTTATGATTAAATGTTTCAAAAAAATGTTGCATTCACATTGTGTTTTATGTTTAATAATTGGTGAAATACTGAAATATATGAAAAATTATTTGAAAGTTGACTGTATGATGTATAGTTTGTAAGGGGCTATAAACAGAACTTCATTATTTTTCAGGTTTTGATTCCTAAGTTGGAGCATCTGTGCATTTGGGGTATAAAGAATTTGAAGGAGATATGGCCTCGTGCCTTTAGTACGAGTGATGAAGTTAAGTTGAGAAAGATTGAAGTGCGCCATTGTGAGAATGTTGTCAGTATATTTCCTTGCAATCACATGCCATTGTTGCGTCATCTTGAACAACTTGAGGTCAGGGATTGTGGTTCCATTGAAGCTTTATTCAACATCTACTTGGATTGTGTTGGTGAGACTGGAGAAGGCAGCAGAAGCAGCAGCTTGAGAAGCATTGGAATATATCAATTAGAGAATCTAAGAGAGGTGTGGAGGATAAAAGGTGGTGAAAATAACTCTGGTCTCCCTATCCGTGTATTTCAAGCTGTTGAAAGCATAAGTATTTACGAATGTAAGAGGTTTAGTTATTTGTTAACACCTACCACCACCAAGTTTGATCTGGGGGCACTTACCTCTATGGTTATACTTAATTCCGGAGAAATTGGGAGAAAATATGGATTGGTGGAAAGTAGCCAAGGGCACGAGGTATGTATGGTTTAATGAATTTCAGTTTGTATTTAACTAACTACCATTGCTTATCAAAACTAATTACTAGCTCCTACTCTTTTTTTTTAAAGATTTCACATTTTCTTTAGAAGATTCCCAAATTTTGTTTGGTGGGCAGGAACTAATGCAGCTTTTCATGATTTATTATTCAAATAACAAAAAGTTCACTATTTTAAGGACAAAAGTAGGAATGTTCTTAACATTATTGACTATTTTCATAGTTTCCACATATTTCTTGAAAGAATACTTAAAATCAAAATAATCATTCTCAAATTTATATTTTTAAGAAAAGGACTTGTGAAGGGATATGCAGTTACAAATGGTTGAGGTAATTCGACTTTAGCTTAACTGTTATAGTTACTAATACATTTCTTGTTGTGATATATGTGCAGAATACTCTGTTCCCAGCCTATCTCATACATTCGATTCATAACCTCCGTAAACTTGAGTTGGTGAAATATAAAGGAGTGGAGGTGATATTTGAGATCAAGGGTAGTTCAAAGAGTCAGGATAATCAACATCGAATACTTCCCTACCTTGAGAATTTGTATACAAATGATTTGGAGAGGCTGAGTCACGTGTGGAAGTGCAACTGGAATGAATTCGTACTTCTTCACACAAAACAATCAGAATCCCCATTCCACAACCTCACAACCATAGAAATGAGAAATTGTCATAGCATCAAGTACTTGTTTTCACCTCTCATGGCAGAACTTCTTTCGAACCTAAAGAAAGTCAAGATAAAATGGTGTGATGGTATGACGAAGAAGAAGAAAAAATAACATCAAGCACCGCTCTGTTCCCTCTTCTTGATTCTCTCACGTTAAAAAGCCTTCCAAATCTCAAGTGTATTGGTGGTGGTGGGGCAAAGGCTGGGAACAATAAAATATCTTTCAACAATACCACTACAACTACCTCCTTTCTTGATAATTCTAAGGTATGTTTTCAACATATTCAGCTACCTATTCAACTTCCTTTTACAAATCCATTATTTCTTTGGAAATATTCTCCAATTACTAGTCATATTCTAGAAAATTCAACAAATCACTTACAAGATATTGAAAAAGTTAGCTGCTATACAAATCCAATGAAAAGATTAGAAGGCATAAAAATTGCAAGAGAATGAAATTTTTACAGCTTGTAATCGGATTCCCAATATTATTTCATCTATTATGTATATGTTAAATATTAAACACATTATGTAAAATCAATTTCTTATTAATATTATATTATATATATATAATATATATATATATATATATATATATATATACACTACCCCTCCTATTATATATCTTATAAGAAAACATCTCATCATTAACCAAAGTACTACAAAATCATTGGCCAGGTTGTTCCTCATTTCTAGTAGAAAATATAAACTTCTAGTGTATTTTAACCTAATCTTGATCTTAACATATGCTCTCTTAACCTGGCTAATCTTGCATTCCAAAATTTTAGCCCCACATATAGCTTTTATGTTTCAACTTCATGGGCACCGAGTCAATTCATTACAAAGAACCAAATGCTTAATTAAATTACTTTTATAAACTAGTGTATGGGTGGGGAACAAACAATTAAACTTTGTTAACAATCAAACAATAATTCACATTAACTTTTTGTCATTTACTGCAGTTTTCTGAAGTGGACGGTGTTTCTTGGAGTTTATGCCAATATCCTAGAGAGATAAGCATAAGTAAGTGCAATGCATTGTCAAGTGTGATTCCATGGTATGCAGCAGGACAGATGCAAAAGCTTCAAGTGCTGAAAATAAAGTCTTGCGACGGGATGAAGGAGGTGTTTGAAACTCAATGGATCAACAAAAGTGTTATTATGCTTGAACTGAGAAACCTCAAGAGATTGGAAATCTATAGCTGTGAATTTTTGGAACATATATTCACATTTTCCACACTTGAAAGCCTCGAGCAACTTGAAGAGTTAATGATAAAGAATTGCAAGGCAATGAAAGTGATTGTGATGAAGGAGGAAGATGATGGAGAGCAAAAAACAAAGGCATCTTTTTCTAAGGCTGTGGTTTTTCCTCTTTTAAAGCTTATTGAACTAGTTGATCTACCAGAGCTGGTGGGTTTCTTTTTAGGGACGAATCATGCCTTCATTGGATTATCTTATGATTAATGATTGCCCAGAGATGAAAGTGTTCACAGCTGGTGGGTCGACAGCTCCACAGCTCAAGTATGTGGAAACAAGCTCAGGCAAACAGCCAAACATAGTCCTAAATGCTGGTTTAACTAGCATGTAACAATCACTACTACTGGGAAGCTTCAGGAGGTATAATTGTTTATATAATTTTTACGTACATATATCATTTGATTATTAAGAAAAATCATGATTCCAAGTAAAAGCATTATTAAGCACATTACAAGTTTACATAATCCATTTTTTCCATATCTAACTAAAACGAAAACCCGAATGAAACTTGTTTTAGTTACTGTTAGACGTATTATGGGGGTGTTTGGGATTTGCTTATTTAAAAGAACCTATGCTTTTTTGTAAAAGTGCTTATTAACTGATAAGTTGATAAGTTGTTTTTTAGTGTTTAGCAATTTCTGCTTATTTGTATAAAATGATCGAAAAGGACATATAACATATTACAATGTATTTTACTCCTCCCAATCTTCCGACTTTCCTTTAGACTATGGATAACTGATTGTATGTGTGAAATTACAGTTTGATCGGCTGATTATTGTTGACATGTTGATTAATTTTTAAAGAAAACAATTCTATGAAATTTTTAGAAACGCTTAGTTTTCAAGTAAACTAAAACATGTACTCCATACTCTGTTTAAATTAGATGTTTTTTTATTATTATTATTAATGGGTTAAAGGTGTTATGATTTTATCAAAAGGATTTATATGTAATCAATGTTTTGAGATGCAGGTGGTTTGATAGCTCACTGTAAGAGGAATGCATGTATATTACATGAGAGGAATCAATATATTATAAATACTAACCAATCAATAATTTATCCAATAATCAAGAATCAATATAATATTAATTTTTTACATTACTGTAGCACAAGGTGAGAATTACGGAGCATGAATTTGAAGAAAAGGAGGGGAACATTGTCTGTGATGTTCGTGAAGGAAGAAAGTCACGAAAAAATAAAAAGAAAAGTCGTCGATGTACAAGGAGTATTTTAAGGTAAATTAGGGGTAAATGAGTAATTAGGTATTATATCTTAATAAGAAGTTTCAAATAACTAAGGAGAAACCAACTTATTAAAAACTTCTTATTTGATCAAATAAGTGCTTATAAATTGTACCTATCCAAACACTAAAATATGCTTATTACCGGTACCAAAACGGTATAAGCAAATAAGAAGCTTAAATAAGCAATCCCAAACACCCCATATGTAATTGTTTGTATTATTTATATTGTTCGTTATTAGCCCACTTAAGTATTTAGCCTTGTTAGAATATTAGCACATGTAATTATTGGTAGTCCATTTCGTATCTTTGTGTATATATACTGTTGGAAAGGCTATATGCCTGTTATGGGAAATATACAATCAACATGGTATCAGGCTATTTCTCGTAACCCTAGTCGATCGTGCTTCTTCTTCTCGACATTCTCATCTGTCAACCATATTTTCCATTTTTTTTCTTCTTCACAATTATATCTTCTTCTATGGCGACCGCAATCATAAGATTTATGGGATTACCAACATTAAATCCTAAGTACCTCTTATTTTAGACATGATACAAGTTCAAGGTTAAATATTAGATGAACGAAATAGCAACATATTTCATTTCTTTCTATTGCAATGTACCTGCTCTTATCAAGACATTGTAATTAGAAAAATCTATTTAATTATAACATTTTGATTAAAAAAAATCAAGACATTACACTTTGAAAAATCTACCAAATTATAGAAATAAACATTGGATGACATTGTTATAACTGGGTAGATTTTCGAAATATAACTGTTGTAATAAGAAAATAAATGAAATTACATTGATATTTATTTGATTAACCATATAAGTAAAGTATCTTTTGTTAGGATCGAGACACGAACACGAAACTCTCACTCTCAGCTCACGAATTATAGAAAAACAAGAACACAAGGATTTAAGGTGGTTCAGTCTATTTCTGACCTACGTCCACACGAGGGTAACTAGGAGTTTTTATTTCTTCTTCTTTTTGTGTGTTATGAAACTACAGATACAATACAATCTTATATAGGATTGAATGGAGAAAAGGAAAGCCACAAAACATGGTCCTTAAGAACCGGGTGACCATTCCTTTTTCTTTTTTGACTAACTTTTCTGTGGACCACTTTGACGTGGATTCACACTCAACATTCTCCCACTTGAAGCCACGGAACAATCTTCACATGTGCTTCAACTATGCATCTGTATTTCTGTAAAACACTTTTGATCTTGACTTCATCCTAGTTACCCGGCCTTCTCTTCAATTATCCTGAAGGCCAGTTGAAGCTATGCAAAGCTTCAACTTCTCTAAGGTGACAACCTTAGTCAACATATCAGCTGGATTTTCAGTTCCTTTGATCTTATTCAACTTCAGAGTGCCATCATTAATTCTTTCTCTGATGAAGTGATATCTCAGCTGTATGTGCTTTGTCTTCGAATGGAAGACGGGATTCTTTGCAAGATGAATTGCACTTTGATTGTCACAAAATAATGCACAATCATCTTGTTCTTTGCCAAGTTCGTTGAGAAAATTCTTCAACCATATAAGCTCTTTGCTTGCTTCAGCAACTGCCATATACTCTGCTTCTGTGGTTGAAAGGGCAACACTTTTCTATAGTTTGGACATTCAACTTACTGCAGTGTCGCCCACTGTAAAGACATACCCTGTGGTGCTTTTGTATGAATCTTTACAACCACCAAGATCTGCATCTGCATAACCATTCAGAACTAGGTCTTTTCCCTTAAAATTTAATGCCGTCTTTGAAGTCCCTTTCAAGTATCTCAGCAACCATTTAACTGCTTCCCAATGTTCTCTTCCCGGATTGGACATGAATCTACTAACAACTCCCACTGCATGAGCTATATCTGGTCTCGTGCATACCATTGCATACATGAGGCTACCAACTGCGGATGCATAAGGAACTTTAGCCATTTCTTTCTTGTCTTCATCTGATCTGGGTGACTGAGCTTTAGAAAGCTTAAAGTGACTTCCCAAAGGTGTGCTTCTGATCTTGGCATCTTTAAGGCTGAATTTCTCTAATACTTTCTCAAGGTACTTTTCTTGAGATAGTGTTAAAGAACCATCTTTGTTTCTGAATATACTCATCCCGAGTATTTGCTTTGCAGCTCCCAAGTCTTTCATTTCGAACTCTTCAGACATCTGTTTCTTCAACTTCTTGATCTCTGACATGTCTGAACCGACAATCAACATATCATCTACATAGAGTAGTAGAATGATATAAGAACCCTTAAACTTCTTGACGTAACAACAATGATCATTGTCACATCTCTTGTAACCAACTTTTCTCATGAAGTTATCGAACTTCAAATACCATTGTCTGGGTGCTTGTTTCAGACCATACAAACTCTTCTTCAATTTACACACCAAGTTTCCTTTGCCTTTATCCTGAAAACCCTCTGGTTGTGTCATATAAATGTCTTCATCTAGGTCACTGTGTAGAAAAGCTGTCTTGACATCTAGTTGCTCTAGATGCAAACTTTCTGCTGCTACAATACTGAGAACAAGTCTGATAGTGGTCATCTTCACTACTGGAGAGAATATTTCATTGAAATCAATTCCTTCTTTCTGTTGAAAGCCCTTGACTACTAATCTTGCTTTGTACCGTTTGGTACCATCATGTTCATCCTTGACCCTGAAAACCCATTTATTCTGAAGAGCCTTCTTCCCAACTGGAAGCTTTGTTAAGTGCCATGTGTTGTTCTTCTCAAGCGACTTCATTTCATCTTTCATTGCTAGCTCCCACTGCAATGAATCTTTCAACCCTATAGCTTCAGAGTAACACTGGGGTTCACCGTTTTCTGTCAAAAGAATGTAGTTGACAGATGGTGAGTATCTGTTTGGTGGTCTTGTGACTCTGGAAGATCTTCTTAGTTGAACTTGAGGTGTGACTGGGGACTCTGGAGTTGGAGGACTGGTTTCTTCATCTTCAGAATCATTACTGGAATTATCCCCTGAGCTCCCACTGTCAGTTGAATCATCCCCAGATTCAGGGATTTCGACTGGAGCTTCTTTCTTCTTTTCAACACCTTCAAACTCAACATACTCCTTCTGATCTTCTGGACTTTTGTTGTTTCTGTCTTTGTATAACTCGGCTTCGTTAAAGGTGACATTCTTGCTTCGGATTATCTTTCTGCTCTCACTATCCCAAAGCCTGTAACCCATTTCATCCGACCCATAACCAATGAATGTACACTTCTTGGTCTTTGAATCAAGTTTATCCCTGTCACCATCTTTTAACAAACTGTAAGCAGTACAACCAAAGACTTTCAGGTGTTTGAGACTTACTTCCTTCCCTTGCCACATTTCTTCTGGTAATTTAAAATCCAAGGGAACACACGGTGAACGGTTGATCAAGTAGGCTGCAGTATTAACTGCATCAGCCCAAAATGTCTTAGGTAAACCAGAATTCAACCTCATGCTTCTAGCCCTTTCATTCAGAGTTCTATTCATTCTTTCAGCTACACCATTCTGCTGAGGGGTTCCTGGGACCGTCTTGATCATCTTTATCCCTTGCTTGGCACAATAGTCAACAAACTCCTTGCTTATGTATTCACCACCATTATCCGACTTCAGGCATTTTACCTTCAAATCAGTTTCATTTTCAACAGCAGATTTCCATATCTTAAAAGTGTCAAATACATCAGATTTATTTTTAAGAAAATAGACCCATACCTTGCGTGTTGAATCATCGATAAAGGTTACATAGTAGTTTTTGCCTCCTAGAGATGAAACTGGTGTTGGTCCAAATACATCCGAGTGAACAAGCTCCAACTTCTGAGCTTTCGGTGTCTTCCCCGTTTTTACAAAAGTAACCCGCTTTTGTTTCCCGAGAACACAAGATTCACAAAATTCAGTTTCGACTTTCTTCAAGTCTGGAAACTTTCCTTTCTGAGCCAACATCTTCAATCCCTTATCGCTCATGTGTCCGAGTCGTTGGTGCCAT